GAGCTCTTCTATGAAGAAGACCTAGAGCTCTTCTATGAAGACCTAGAGCTCTTCTATGAAGAAGACCTAGAGCTCTTCTATGAAGACCTAGAGCTCTTCTATGAAGAAGACCTAGAGCTCTTCTATAAAGAAAACCTTCAGCTTTTCTATAAAGAAGACCGTCAGCTTTTCTATGAAAAAGACCTTGTGGCAATCTACAAAGAATACCTTGAGTTCTTTATTTAAAAAGAGAGGAACAGAGCCTGAAAAATGTTTTTTTCTATTCTATATGGCTTTAATATATTTGAAAATTTGGTACAGGAAAGGGCTCACTAAAATTTTCAGTAAATCATTTAAAGGAACGAACCTGTGATGAAGTTTTTTTTATTTTCAAACGACCCCTTATATATTCTCGAAAAAAAATAAGGTAAGGAGGTATATACATACATTCCATATGGGGTCAATATTGAGTCCACAATGAAACTCTTAAAACAATTTTTAAATAACCGACTTTCACGACATTTTCGAATCGAGTTTTAAAAAATACATATGTATGTATTTATATAAAAAATATGTATGTGTATAGATATGTATATAAAAGTTTTATACATGTTTTAATTCATTACGCTTTTTCACTCCATTATTTATTCCATTTTGGTTTTTCATTATTTCGTTTTTTTTTCTTGAAATTAAAAAGCCTGTCAACCAAAACTGTCATGTTTCGTGAAGACGCACGCCAAAGGAAAAAAGTGAATGCCATAAAAAACGAACAAACTTTAGAAGTAAAGAAATATAAATTAATCTTGTCACGAAAATATAAAAAGAAATGAAATATTGAAACGTCAACGGAAGAAGAACAACAACGAAAAAGGAAAACTTTGTTGATTAAAGTCTCTGAAGTGTATAAAGAAAATACAGAAAGGGGAGGAATGTAAAATCTGTCACCAGAAAAGAAAGATGTGGTTGGATAAATTTTTTGAAGGCTTTTGATTGGTTTTCTAAGAAAAGATAAGATGGTTATTTGGAGGGAAGGGTTGAAATGACGGGGAGGACATTTTGTTTCATTAAAAATAAAAATAATTTACTTTACAAAATGACAGAGTTCGGAAATGCATGCGAGGCATGTATAAGCAAGGATGTGGAAAATCTCAAATCTACCTCATAGAAGAGTTAAAGTTCTTCTTCATAGAGATCAGGAAGAAAATGCTTTGTATGCGGTTATTGCAAATTATTTTTGCGAGGACATGTCTTCAGTCAAATCGAATGCAGAATATTTTTGTTAAACATATCCTACTTCTATGTCGAGTCTTTTTTTTTTTTCTTTGTCTATAATTTCTTGAACCATAACCTAAATATCACAATAATAAATTTTTTCATTCATAAGATTTTAGCTAAGGTCCCCACAGACAAGACATTGCTATTCGCATGTTTTCATGGTAATTTTTTTGAATTTTAAATCCGATTACTGTTCGGAAAACCTTATATATACGAACACTAATAAATTTCGTATATATTGTTGATTGCCCTGTGCGACAAACTCGAGGACAAGGTGTGAGAATGGAAAATTCCTATTGTGGTTGAAAGACCATGGTGGGTATATGAAAACTCCAGAAGGAAAAAATCGCCATAGGAAAGTTCGAAGGTTTGGTGTGACATTTTTTTTTACTGGCGACCCTATTATACTTGAAGAGATAACTTTATATCTTGATTTGTAGCTATTGTATGCAATTTTGGAGATTATATGTCTTCAGTAAAATCGAATGAGGATTTTTTTGCAGAACATTTCGTCCTTCTAACTCGATTCCTTGTGCTTTCTTTTCGTCCTTAATTTATTGAACCGGTCTCCAATTGTCACAAGATGCGATTTTTCATCCTCGCAATATTCTACAATATGTTGCTCATAAGATTTTAGGTGGGGTCTTCAAAGACGAAAAATTGATATCTTAACGTTTTAATGATCTATTCGCAATTTTACCCGGTTCACCAAACCCCTTTATGTGTTTCAATAAATTCTGCATACATTCCTTATAATGTAGAAGTGTAGGATTCTTCCGAATTATTTTCTATAATCATATATAGTTATGCCAAATATGTAAAAAACAATATATTTCCAGGAAAAAATAACCGGTTTTTTTAATTTTTTAAACCGGTTATTTTGGATAATGAAACCGGTTTCAATACCATATGGATGCATATCATTAAAAAATTAGTAAACAGACGTGTCAAATTTATTGAACCGGTTATAATTTTCGGGTTTTTATGTGAATATCCGGTTCAAAAATTTAATAAAAACCCGGTTATTTTTCCTCGAAATTAATTTTTTTTACATATTTAGCATAACAAAATATGTTTTAGAAAAAAAAAATCGGACGAATCAGAAAAAAATAACCAGGTTTATACATTTTTGAACCGGATATTTAGATAATAAAACCGGTTTCAATACCTTATATGTATATTATTAAAAAGCTAGTAAAGCGTGTCAAATTTATTGAACCGGGTTTGACTAACGGTTTTATTATATGAATATCTTATCGGTTTTATTATATGAATATCCGGTTCAAAATTTAAAAAAAGTAAACCGTTTCTTTTTTCCTTGAAATATATTTTTTGACATATTTAGCTAACAAAATATGTTTTAGAAAATAATTCGGACGAATCAGAAAAACCCGGGTTTATACATTTTTGAACCGGATATTTAGATAATAAACCCTGTTTCAATACCTTATATGGATATCAATAAAAATCTAGTAAACATACCTGTCAAATTTATGGAACCGGTCTATTATCGGTTTTATTATATGAATAATCGGTATATTGATATATATTTTTTTGATTTATATTTTTTAGAAAATAATTCGGGCAAATCCGAAAAAATAACCGGTTTTCTAAATTTTTGAACCGGATATTTAAATAACAAAAACCGGTTTCACTACCTTAGATGCATATCATTAAAAACCTAGTAAACAGACATGCCAAATTTATTGAACCGGACAATTATCGGTTTTATTATATAAATATCCAGTTCAAAATTTTTATAAAAAACCGGTGATTTTTTCCTCGAAATTTATTTTTTGACATATTTAGCATAACTATATATCTTTATAGAAATTAATTCGGAAAATTAGAAAATAATAACCTGTTTTTCTAAATTTTTGAACCAGATATTTTGATAATAAAACCGGTTTCAATACCTTATGGATGGATGTATTAAAAAGCTTGTAAACAGACGTGCCAAATTTATGGAACCGGTCTATTATCGGTTTTATTTTATATGAATATCCGGTTAAAAATTTAAAAAATCTGGTTCAAAAAATAAAAAAATTGGTTCCTTTTTCCTCCAAATTAATTTTTTTGATATATTTAGCATAGTTATATATGTTTTTTAGAAAATAATTCGGACGAAACCGAAAAGAAAATAACTGGTTTTCTAAATTTTTGAACCGGATATTTAAATAATAAAACCGGTTTCACTACCTTAGATGCATATCATTAAAAAGCTATTAAACAGACATGCCAAATTCATTGAACCGCTTTTGATTATCATATTTTTGTTATATAAATATTCGGTTCAAAATTTAAAAAATATGGTTCAAAAATTTAAAAAACCGGTTCATTTTTCCTCGAAATTTATTTTTTGATATATTTAGCATACCTTTATATGTTTTTTAGAAAATAATTCGTGCAAATCCGAAAAAAATAACCGGTTTTCTAAATTTTTGAACCGGATATTTAAATAACAAAAACCGGTTTCACTACCTTAGATGCATATCATTAAAAATCTACTAAACAGACATGCCAAATTTATTGAACCAGTTTTGATTATCGTATTTATTATATAAATATTCGGTTCAAAAATTTAAAAAAAAACGATTCTTTTTTCCTCGAAATTTATTTTTTGAAATATATAGCATAACTATATATGTTTTTAGAAAATAATTCGGACGAATCCGAAAAAATAACCGGTTTTTTAAATTTTTTGAACCGGTTATTTAGATAATAAAACCGGTTTCACTACCTTATATGCATATCATTAAAAAGCTAGTAAAAAGACGTGCCAAATTTATTTATTTTATTTATTCTAATTTATTTTATTTATTCAAAAATTAAAAAACCGGTTATTTTTTCCCAGAAATTTATGTTTTTAGAAAATAATTCGGACGAATCCGAAAAAATAAACGGGTTTTTAAATTTTTGAACCGGTTTCAATACCTTACGGATGGATATCATTAAAAAGCTAGTAAAAAGACGTACCAAATTTATTGAACCGCTTTTAATTATCGGTTTTATTATATGAATAACCGGTTAAAAATTTTAAAAACCCGATTCTTTTTTCCTCAAAATTTAGTTATGCTAAATATCATAACCATATATGTTTTTAGAAAATATAATACAGACGAATCTGACAATTCTAGATTTTTTTGAATTTTTCAGACCCGAAATATAAATAGCAAGCCCTTTTATATGTCAAATCAGATACAAAAAAATCCACACATGTGTTTCAGTCTATCATTTCACAAAAATGTTTAATAGTTGAACGAACTATTTATTTACCCCCGCCCCTCCGGCCCCCAAAATAAATATGAGATCTGCTTTAGCGCCTTTAAGTTACACCTTGCCTTGCTGTTGTTGTTGCTTTACGCGTCGCATGTTTTTCCAGTTATTGTGGTTGTTTTCTTTTCTATTACAGATAAGATTAGGGGGCTTCAGCCCTTGCCTTGCCATCTTTGTGGCCCACAAGTGTGAATGTCCCCACCACTACAATATTTATTTTTGCAAAGTGGTTTGTTTGCTTGTTTCTCTCGCCCGCTCTCTTTTATTTGTAGTTAAAAATCGTATTATGAAATTTCTAGTTCAATTTTCAATAGAACTAAATTATGATATGGATAGTGTTAAGAGAAATAATCTTTTGGGTGGTATATTAAAATTCCAGGAAATTTGTGTTAACTGATTTTGTTTGCCTTTTAAATGTTTTAATAAAAAATTATCTTAAAATATGGAAAAGAAAAACAAATAAAACTCACCAGTTTCATTATCAATGGTAAATGGTATACCAGCCCATTCATTGGCACCCAAGCCATTGGCATCCTCATCGTCAATATCCTTGGAATCATATTTGGGCTAAATGGGAAAAATTGAAAAAAATATATTTCTTATAAATAATAAATTCATAAATATAATTAAAAATCCCCACACTTATAACTAGAATATATCATATATGAGAATTTAGATGTATATACTCCTACATATTTTTTTTTTTTTTTAGATAAGATCCATTAACAATTGTACCCACATATGTGTATGCAGTTATGTTTTCAAACATGTATATTTATTTTCTTTATATATGTGTATATTATTCTGCACCGAAATGTTTACCATAGAGCGGCGACAATATCTAATAATCCCAATGAAAATAACACCGAACACCAAGAAAATATGGAAATTTCCATTTGGTAATGCTAGATAGGCTCTAGGTGAGAATATTCAAAAATTGTGAAATTCTAAATATCACAACATGTATGTTAGATGTGAAAATTTTGTTGTTCGCAAAAAATCTGCATATATAGTGGATTCATGGAATTTTTCCTCTAAAATGGGATTCTATATTTTTATACCCTCCACCATAGTATGGAGGGTATATTAGTTTTGTTTTTTCGTTTGTAACGCATCTAAATAATCATTTCCGACCCTATATAGAATATATATACAAGTTCAAAGATGGGCTATATCGGTCCACGTTTAGACATAGCTCCCATATAATATAATAATAATATATATTATATGGGAGCTATTATATAATAATATAATAGCTCCCAATTTTCGGTATTTTGGGGTTCTTGAGCGTGTTTTTCAAACGAATTCGCTAAAATTTGGTCCTTTGAGATCTTATTAAGTACCAAATCTCCCTACTAAAAATTATAAATATAGATCAATTTTTTCTGGTACCCCCCATATAACGGTACCCCTCAATTTTCGGTATTTTGGGGTTCTTGAGCACTGTGGGGGTGTTGCTTTGGGTTAAGTTGGAAGTTATTGAAATTCGTACTAAATGGTACTAAATTTTGTACAATTTGAATTTTAAGCGGACCAATGGAGCTAGAATCAGAAATTTGGAGTCAGGATCATTGTTGAGGTGTAAATTGAGATATGCAGAAATTTGTGCTAATGTGTACTAAATTTTGTACAATTTATGTTGTGGCTGAAGCGATAGAGTTGGAATCCAGATTTACGATCACTGTGGCGGTATTTATGAAGTTTTGGAAATTGGTACTACTGTGTACTTAATTTGGTACAATTAGAATTGTGGGTAAACAGATAGAGTTGGAATACTGAAATTTAGATTTTGGAGCACTGTGGTGGTGTTTTGTATGGGTTAAGTCGGAAGTTTTTGAAATTCGTACTAAATGGTACTAAATTTGGTACAATTTGAATTGTGGGTGAACCTATGGAGTTGGAATCCTGAAACTTGTATTTAGAATCACTGTCGGGGTGTAGGTTTGGTTTAAGTAGGATTTTTTTGGAAATTATACTACTAAATTCGGTACAATTATAATTGTGGGTGAATTAATAGAGTTGGAACCCTGAAATTTGAATTTGGAATCATTGTGGGGGTATAGGATCGGGGTATGCAGAAAGTTTCGTTAGGTCGTTGAGGAGGGATATGTTAATACATTTTGAAATATTTCCCACATTCGCTAACGAAGTTGCGGGCATATGCTAGTTTTATATAAGAGAAACATGTAAATCTGAATCAATTTCAACAAAACTTCACACACATCAAACTAGACTTAATTCAGTATGCTGTTCACAATTATTGGGAGTTTGTTGCACCATTTACATAAAATCGGACGAAGCTATATATGGGAGCTATATCTAAATCTGGACAGATTTCAACAAACAAACATGACTAAATTCCGTACGCTGTGCAAAATTTTGTCCCAAAAGGGCAAATATTTCCAGTTTGTTGCACCTTTACGAAACTATATATGGGAGCTAAATATAAATCTAAATCGATTCCAACAAAACTTTGCATACATAAATTAGGACCTAATTCAGTATGCTGTGCAAAATTTTGTGATAATCGAACTAAATTTGACTCTTTGGTGCTCCATCGGACCAATATTGGGAGTTTGGTGCACCACTTACATAAAATCGGACGAAACTATATATGGGAGATATATCTAAATCTGAACCGATTTTCATTTTCGTCGTTGGGTCAATTAAGTGACATGTGCATCGGATCATAAATGCGACCTGTACTTTGTTCACAAAAAAACATGGACGTACGGACGGCCATGCATAAATCGACTCAGAAAGTGATTCTATGCATATTCTCAAAAGGAACCATGGGTATATCTCGATTCCTTTTGCCTGTTACAAACATATGCACAAAGACATAATACCCTGTACCACCCTGTCCAGTTCTTTTTGATTTTGTCCAGCTTTTTCCGAATCGGAATCTGTCAACCCTAGTTGGGATATAGGTGTAGATCGTATAGATTATCGCCCAATTTCATATATTCGTTAACAAAGTACAGATCGAATTTATTACCTAATTGTTATGACATTTTGCACAGCTCATAGAGTTGGCCCAAGGACAAATGACATTAAAATTTGTGAAAATGGGCCCGGGTTTAAAGATAGATCCCATCAATATTTTCGTCAGGGTTTTTTTTAATGTAAATGATGCATTAAAATCGCGTCGTTTGTTTGCCAACAAATTTTGCAAAGGAGACGGTTGAATGTCTACATTGACGAGGGTCAATTCTGATGCAAATCGGATGTCGATATAGCTCTCATATATATATTATGGCTCGATTTTATGTATATAACGCGCTATTTGTTCTACACATGTCTGAACAGATTGAAACTTTGCACAGCCTATCTAATTTAGTCTACAATTACGTCTAAATTGGGTCCGACTCTATATAACTGGAGCACGAAATATCAGCGATTTTTCCGCCTGGCTCCAATGTAATGGGACCTCCAGTAATTTTATATTAATTAAATTACTGTGCAATAAGATTTCAGAGGGTTGAACATTTCTTATGGGGCTGGGCGAAAACTTTAAAACCCAGAAGAACAAATTCGCTATAGGTCAATTTTTTGAGTTATGACGTGATGATTTTTAATGCATTTACGCTCTAAAGTTGTCGAATAAAAGGCTTCATAGCTTAATTTGTACTAATTTTAGGTTATTTTTGAGCTGACATATGTTCTGTCAAATCTAATGAGGAATATTTTTGAAAAAAACATATCCCCCGTTTATATATGGGATACTTGTGCATCTTTTTCGTCCTTTGAACCGTAAACTAAATATCACCAACAATTACGCTTATAAGATATTAGATTGGATCCCCAAAGACATGAAATCCTTGCTTCGAAAACCTATAACCTACGTACACTAATAAATTTCGAACTATCAGATTATGACAGTTTGTGGAGGGAGTACCTTAAATGATGGACCTATATAGCCGATAGTTGCACTATATTTATGATTCGTATAAATATAAAGGTCTGCCAAGCTTAGATCACATTTTCCATCTTGGAACGCAATCAAGCTATTGATTTTTTGACAAAATTGAAAGATTTAAAAGTCGAAGACAAAAATCGAACTTTCTAAAAATCGGCTTTTTGGCCTGTCCTACTTTTGGTATTTTTCTATCGAACTATGAATGTAATTTGACATTCCAGATTCCTGGTGACTAAAATGCTTCTTCCCAGAAGATATTGTACAATTTAAATTATACAATTTTCTGATTTGAATGTTCGATATTTTTTTTTCGGATCACAAACAACCTTCTATGCCACAATGTAAGAACATAGACCTTTAAGCTGCCAATCAATCTAAGAAATTTTGAGTAAAAACTACCTGTGGATATATAGATCCGCCAATTTTTAGTTATTATTCTGCAGTTCGGTTTCTTAGCTTTAAAATTCTATGTTCGTCTGTCTGCTGAAATCACGAATATTTGAGAAAGTGTATTGAAGCTTTACACACAATATCGACCCAGCCCGTACTCCCAAATATTCCGTATTTTGGGCAATTTTTCAACCATATGAGCTGCAATTCGATATTATGAACTCTTAGTGGATTTAAATGTTACTACCAAAATTTATCAATATTGGTCTATTTTTTAGGGTACATATTGAGAATTTGGAAAATAGTTGTTTATTTGGGATACCATTTGTATTTTGTTTTTGCAAAATAGTCAGGCTGAATCCCACTTTGTTGTTTTTATAAAAACAACTATTTATTAACGGGGAATGTATGTCATTGTCCGACTGTATTGTTCTTAAAAAAAAATCATACCCAAGCTAAGTACTAGCGAAGTACTTAGCTGACCAACGAAATAAACTGCATAAGAATTTCGCTGGTGCCTCACTTCGAGGTTCACAAAGGCATTTTGCTTAGGGTCTACAAGTTCTAACGGTAATTTTATATTGGTATGTAGTCATGCGTGGAAATAGTAAACAATTTTTTTCAAAATCCGTTTATAGTATCCAGGTTTGTTATTAATTTCAAGAAAGAATTCTCGAACAGATGTTTGCTTCTTACACTCAGAAATTGACTTCAGAACCCAATAATTGCAGATTTCCAAAGGGCGACTGTATTGCCTTTTTACTGTATTGTCTTCTCAAAGAAATTCTATTCTAATATTTCTAATAAATTATAAAATCAAAATTGGCTTTAATACATAAAATAATATTAGTAATAAACACACACACACACAAATTATAATAAAAAACACAATTTTAATAATTAAAACACAATTTAATGGTAATAAATAATGAAAAAAAAATGCGTAAATATGTAACCAAATTTTTTGTTTGTTGTTTTACTGATGATCATGATGATAATGAATTACAACAACAACAACAAAATACATTTCAAACTTACATTATCCAATTTGAGAGCCTCGAGGGCTTTCAACTTTTCAATGTCGTCCTCATTGGTGGTGGCATTATCCGTAGCACTGCTACTGCCAGCGATTTCGGCCAATTGGGCTTGAGTAAGGCTATAGCCCAGATCGACATCTTGCTTCCAAAGAACTTCGACAATTTCACTTTCCTACAGCGATGATGATTATGTGTGAAATAATTAATTTGCCAAATATATTAATTTTGAATTTGTAAAGTTGTAATTTGTATAATTTTTGTAATACGCGATGCACATTATTTAAATGCAAAAAGAAAATGATAAAAAAGGGAAAATAAGAAAAAAAAAGAGAAAATAATGGAAAAAATTATTAATAGAATTTGACGGCTATTTAAACAAATGTGAAGCGGAGGAGAGAGTTTCACAAAAAAAGAGAATTGCAATTTCACTGGAGCGGGAGAGTAAGAGAGTTTAATTTGTTTTATTATTTTTTAATAATTTTTTTTTTATAATAATTTTAATATTATTATTTTTTGTATAATTTTTATTTTCTTTTTGTAGCACCTACTTTATAAATATAATGTCGCATTTTTTAATTCTTGTAATTTAAAATATAATTTCAAAATTTTTTATTATTAGATTTTTTGTTGGGTAATGTTATGTTTTTTTTTTCACAGTTCTTGGTTGGTTGTTTTTCACAATTTCTGGAGTTAAGAAAAATTCACAAGTTTTTTTTTTGGACACAAATTTTGTGGTTTTATGACACCATGGATTGACGTAGTTAACAGTTTTTCAATTCCGTTTTTTTTTTGCGTTATGACTCGTCGTTTATGTTGTTATGGAAAATAACACCCAGAAAGTAAAAATTACAGCACGTCTTTAACTGATAAACGTTTTAATGAGACTACTAAAAATTCAGAATCTCCCGAAAGCCATGTCGTGGAGACCCCTACCAACGAAACCAAAACAAACTTTATCTTGTCCTCTCTTACAAATAACGATCGAGTTTCATATTTGTGGCATTAAGAGAACCCATTTGCCTAGCTGACAGCCTGCCACTGCCCGCCCGGCTTGTATTCTTCTTATTATGCATATTCATAATAATTTTTTTGTTTTTAGCAAAAAAAAAAACTGATAAGTTGTCGCTGGGAATCGTCGTAGAAAGTCAGGCAGGCAGGCAAGGCGAGGTACGGCAGTCAGGCTAGCAAGTGCTAAAAATGTTAAAGATAAGAATAAGTCGTCTATAATTTCATTTTTGTTCTTGTTGTAAATTTATTGTTTGTTGGTATTATTTTTTTGTAGATAACAATAATTGCTGTCTATAAATGTGCGTTTTTTTTCTTGTGGTAATGTCTTAACAAAATTTCGATTAACATGGTTAACAAGTGTTTGATTATTTCGAATACGATTTGGATTTGGGGAACACAAAAAAATAAAATTGAGAATTGGTTTAACATAAATTCATAATTTGATGTGAGTCATCAAAGGTGGACCGAAGCCCTATTGGTAGATCTTTTAGAGGTGGAATAATAGAAATATGTTTTAGTGCCTATGTTTAGGCGTGGATTTTGAAATATTTTACAGGCCTAATTATAGCAGTAATATTTTGAAAAATATTTTAGACGTAAATGTTCAATTTAAAACATATTTTATTTTTAATGCATACTTTTAGGTGCGGATTAAAAAATTGTATTCCTAGGCCAAATCGGATTTTGAAAAATTATTTATGGGCGAATTATAGGGGATTAAAAAAAATATTTAGTTTTATTTCCAAAATGTTTATGCCTAGTGGTTATTAAAGTCGATGATTTTTAAAAGTATTCAAAAGTATGAAAAGGACTGTTTCTAGAATGAAGACAAATTTGAATTTAATTCGCATATGCAAGTTTTGCATCAGGGCGGAATAAATACAAGTTATAAACATACGAGCTTTGTAAATCCACATAGCCCAATATGCCCGATGAGCCGCTCAATCAACGGCGAAGCGCGTATCATAATGGTGGGTACGTAAGTTCTTCTCCTGGCTTTCCTTTTCATTGCAAAACTTATATCATTAAGCTCGAAAGAGTATCTATACTAATAAAAGAGTAAAGTGATTGACTGACTGACTGACTGATTGACTGACTGACTGATTTAACGATTCATCAACGCCCAGACGAAACGGCTGAAGCTAGAATCTTGAAATTTTGGGTGAGGGTCACTCTTGGCCCAAATGTGACAGATAAGGCTGGGTTTTTGGAAATTCGTATTAGAAGGGTACGAAAAGTACTAAAAAGTACTAAATATGATATCATTTGTATTTGGCGAACCAGTAGAGCTAGAACTCTGAAATTTGGATTGAGGGTCACTGATGGAGTGTAGGATAGATGTACCAAAGGGTTTTTGGAAATTCGAACTACAACTATCCGAAATGTACGAAAATGTACTAAATTTGGTACAATTCTGTAGCATGAGAACGGATAGAGCTAAAAACTTGAAATTTGGAATGCGAATTAGGGTTGGGAAGTAGGGTCGATATAAGGAGATGGTTTTGAAACCGTGTACTCATGTGTACGAAAAGTACTATATGGTACTATATTTGGTACAAATTTGATTTGGATGTACAAATGGAGCTAGAATCCTGAAAAATTAAAGTAACATTACCGTCGGAGTATAGGATTGTGATATGTACGTAGTTTTGGAAATTTGTTACTTATGTGTACGAAAAGTACTAAATCGTACTATAATTGGTACAATTTGGATTTGGGTGAACCGATAGAGCTGAAACAATGAAATTTGGATCATTGTAGGGGTGTAGGATTGGGGTCAGGACTCAGTTTAAGACAATATTACTTATGGGTACTAAATGGTACTAAATTTGGTACAATTTGAATTTTAGGTGAACCAATTGAGCTAGAAGCATAAAACTTGGAGTCAGGATCACTGTCGAGGTGTAAGATTGAGATATGTGAGAAGTTTTAAAATTTTGTACTAATGTGTACTAAATTTGGTACAATTTAAATTGTGGGTGAACCGATGGAATTGGAATCCTCAAACTTGGATTTAGGATCACTGTGGGGGTGTTGGTTTGAGTTAAGTAGGAAGTTTTGGAAATTCGTACAACTGTGTACTAAATTTAGTACAATTTGAATTGTGGGTAAACCGATAGAGTTGGAATCCTGAAATTTAGATTTTGGAGCACTGTGGGGGTGTTGGTTTGGGTCAAGTTGGAAGTTTTTGAAATTCGTACTAAATGGTACTAAATTTGGTACAATTTGAATTTTAGGAGAACCAATAGAGCTAGAATCATGAAATATGGAGTCAGGATCATTGTTGAGGTGTAAGATTGAGATATGTAGGAAGTTTTAAAAATTTGTACTAATGTGTACTAAATTTGGTACAATTTAATTTGTGGGTGAACCGATGGAATTGGAATCCTGAAACTTAGATTTAGGATCACTGTGGGGGTGTTGGTTTGAGTTAAGTAGGAAGTTTTGGAAATTCGTACAACTGTGTACTAAATTTGGTACAATTTGAATTGTGGGTGAATCGATAGAGTTGGAATCCTGAAAACTAGATTTTGGAGCACTGTGGAGGTGTTGGTTTGGGTTAAGTTTGGAGTTTTTGAAATTCGTAGTAAATGGTACTAAATTTGGTACAATTTGAATTTTAGAGCTAGAATCATGAAATTTGAAGTCAGGATCACTGTTGAGGTGTAAGATTGAAATATGTAGGAAGTTTTCGAAATTTGTACTAATGTGTACTAAATTTGGAACAAGTAAATTGTGGGTAAACCGATAAAGTTGAAATCATGAAATTTTGATTTAGGATCACTGTGGGGGTATAGGGTTTGGGTATATAGGAAGTTTTAAAAATTTGTTCTAAGTGTACCAAATTCGGTACAATTTAAATTGTGGGTGAAGCGATAAAGTTTGAATCCTGAAATTTTGATTCAGGATCACTGGGGAGGTGTAGGATTGGAGTATGTATGAAAATTTGGAAATTGGTACTAATGTGTACTAAATTTGGTACAATTTGAATTGTGGGTGCAATCCTGAAATTTTGATTTAGGAACAATGTGGAGGTGTAGGATTGGGGTATGCAGGATGTTTTGGAAATTGGTACTACTGTGTACTAAATTTGGTACAATTTTAATTGTTGGTGAACCGATGGAGTTGGAGTCCTGAAATTTTGATTTAGGATCACCGTAGGATTGATTTAGGGTATGTAGCAAGTTTTGGAAATTGGTACTATTATGTACTAAATTTAGTACAATTTGATTATTAAGATTTTATCTAATTCATGATTTTAATTGGATTGCATGATGTAGATAGTAATGGAAATTTTTACTTATGTGTTCTAAGTGGTACTAAATGTGATACAAATTTAGGTGAAGCGATAGAATCCTGAAATTTGGAATTAAGGTTGGGGTATGTGGGAAGTGTTTGAAACTCGTACTTATGATTTTTAAAGTACTTATGATTGTTGATGTGCACTAAATGATACTCAATTTGGATTTGGGTGAATCTATATTTGTTTTGAAAACATACTATGGCAGAAAATACGTACAAAATGTTCTAAAATAGGGTTTTAAATACATCCCACATTCGCTAACGAAGTAGCGGGTATATGCTAGTAATATATATATATATTCTGTTATTTGTTCCATGTAATACCGCACCTTTTATCTCTAAAACTGGCATAGAAAATAATTATTTTACATAAACAGGGAATGGAAACAGGTTTGTTTGCGCTACGATGTATAGATGGCGCCAATAACTCATTTATAAATTAAACATTATTTTCATGTTAGAATGAATTGTTTGTGTTATATATAGAATATAATGAACATTAAAAATGATAATAAGTGACATAGATGCGATTTTGGGTATATTTTTTAAAACATAAGTATAAGTATATGGATACAAATTTGTGTACACATGAAGTACTCATTATTACCTTCCACCATATATATATATATAGTTTGGCGATTTCTTCGCGATACCGATTTTTTATTTCATAAAACGTATAAATTAAAATACAACCTAAATAAGAACTACGAGCTACATTTGAAAATTAAGGTTGGAGTGTAGGATTGATACATGGTGGTAGTTTTGAAAATGTGTAATTATGTATTTAGTACACATACTAAATTTAGTACAATTAGGGTTTGGGTGAATAGATAGGACTGAAATCATGAGGTTTGGAATTTC